CCTGGCAGAACTCTCTTCAATAAGCCACTTTTAGTTCTTTAATATATAAGATGGAAACTTTTCGCATAAAATGGAAGACATCTGCAGCCTATGGTGGCCCAGAAGAGTCCGTGAAGGAACGTGTTGGGGCAGGAAGCATGTCTGCCTCAGTCTTTGGGGAGCAATATCACTGCAGTTCCTTGTGCCTGGCATAAGCAACCAGCACTGGTCCTTATTTCACATCCCATCCCCTGCAGTTTACAGATGGGCAGTAGCCATTGAGATGAAGGAGTTGTTGGGTGAGGGTTTGGTCAGTGAGCAGCAGGAGAAATTGGTGAGCCGTTAATGAAACATCCATGGGCAGAGGCAGTCTATCTCTACGGCATGGGTCTGGGACAAAGAATTTGAGGTGGCAGCTGTCATTTCACCTGGCTAGTGGACCCTTCCCACAGGTAGGGCAAGAGGTGCCTTTCCCCTCTTAATCCACGAAGCAATTCTTATGGCAGGCTGGCATATCGTATTAATAAATAAGAATAATAATATAAAGAAAATTAAATTTTATGGTACTTCTGAATGGACTGAGGTGCTTATGATAATTTAATAATAATAATTTATACTTTGTGATGTTTTATGCAGGGGTTCCTTGAGATTTGAATACTATTTCAAGGGTTCCTCCAAGATAAAATTGTTGAGTAAGGCTAATTTAAACTGTTGGGGATGCTAGCAGAGTGCAATACCTATCACTTAGAACTCCTTTTCAATTTATCTTTATGAAAAGCATAAGCAATAATTTGGCCTCTAGCTTCCCATTCAGTGAAGCATTAGTTCTGGTATCACAGAATCATAGAAGGGGCTAAGAAGGCCATTGAGTCCAACCCCCTGCTGATGCAGGACACCAGTTGCACCATCCCACTCAGATGACTATCTAGTTGCTTCTTGAATGTCTCTAGTGTGGTAGAGCACACAACCTCTTTTTAGAGCTGGTTCCACTGTCGTATTGCTCTCACAATCAGGAAATTCTTTAGTATGCACTTGCTGTACTATAGTTTAAGTTCATTGTTCCGTGTCCTACAATCTGGGATGCATGAGTGTAGCTCTTTTCCTTCTTCTTTGTGACAGTCTTTGAGGTACCTCTAGAATGCTATCATGTCACCTCGTCTTCTTTTCCTTAAAACTGAACAGGCTTAGTTCTTTTATCCTCTTGTTATAAGATTTGTTTTCCAGGCCCTGTATCATTTTTGTTGCCCTAAACATCCGGATCAAATACTGGAATAGCTGACTCAAGCTCATGGGAGCATCGTTCACTCCGATGTTCATACCCTCTGATTGAATTCATGGTTAATCCTGTGACAGTGCTTCTAATTGTCCCACTGACTTCGGTTCTAATGCCTCAGCATATCCACACTGAACCGATTCCTATTCCATCAAGCCACACAGCTTTAATCTATACCATCCTCTCTATACCATCCTTGGTCCCAACACTTCATTAAGCTACCACAACATCCACCTCAATTCTGTCAGCATCTACCTCTGTCCAGACCAGCTCGGATCCAACTGCACTGGATCTGATCAACTCAAATCCAATGGGTTCAAATCTGACAACTGCAACCCAACATTCACATAACTTAACCTTCCAAACCACAGATTTTGCTCATGATTACCTTGTGACAAACACCTTAGACTTGCATCCTGGCATCCAGCAGATTCTCATGGCTGCCCTTAAACCTAACATGAGAAACTCCAATCTTACCAAATGGACAAAGTTCAAAAAAATTTGCTTCACTCTATCCATCCGATCCCTCTTCCGCATTGGTTTTGAACATTTTACAATTCTTGCACTCACTGTATGTCTCTGAACTAAAACCCACATCCATGTGGGTATATTTGTTGGTGATGTCCGCCTTCCACAGTCCAATTGAGGGACATACTGTCTTTTCTCACCCCCTCATCTTTTTGGTTTATGAAAGGGCTGAAGAACCTACATCCTCCAACCCATGCTGTAGTTCATCCCTGGAGTCTCCCCGTAGTACTACATGCGCTGACTAAGCCTCCTTTCAAACCTCTAGCTACTGTTGATCTCTGACTGCTATCTTGGAAGGTCTCCTTCCTCGTGGTCATCACCTCGGTGCAGAGAGTGAGTGAGCTCTGTGTGCTGTGGGTGGACCCTCCACATCTGACATTTCTTAGGGACAAAGTTGTGTTGCGCAGTGATCCATCATTTCTACCTAAGGTCTCTTTGACCTTTCAGATTAACCAGGAGATAGTCCTGTCAGCCTTTTTCCCTTCCCCCTCAATGGACATTGAGAGGGCTCTGCACATGCTCCACATTCGCTGAGCACTATCACTCTATTGATCCCAAACAGAGAGCATTCATAAGACAAAGCACCTCTTCATGAAATACACGGACCACTGGAAAGGTGACCCTGTCAGACCTCAACAACTGGCGCATTGGATCATCAGAACCATTAAGTTGGCGTATGAACGTTCCTCTTTAGACTTCCCAGACAAACCACAAGCACATTCCACGAGGGCTATATCCACTTTACTGCCTTCCACGTGGGACTCCTGATTGAAGAACTGTGTGAAACAGCAACATGGTCAATACCGTCAACATTTTTCCGACATTACATCCGTAAACTCTTCTCCTATTGCATGTAAAGGTTTATGAACTCAGCTAATGAGGACAAATGATGGACAATATTTGTCGATTTCCAGATCAGTGGATTTTCTCATATATGAAAATCTGTGTTTATAGTGATGTTAATGATGTGTATTGACTGACAGATTGATACTAATACAGCAGAATGACATGTATGGTGACTATATTCCTGAACAACACCTCCCACCACCACTGAGGGATGCTTGCTAGTCATCCGTATGCGTGATGCACAGAGACCACAACGAAGAAATGCAGGTTGCATACCTGGAACTGTAGTTCTGTGAGTGGTCATCTGCGCATTCACACAACCCACCCTCTAGCTCCATGTCGGTGTTGGTGATTGTACACACATAGTACACTGCTGCCTTTTGACTTTAACAATTAGGAAGCTATCACACCAAATCCATTCATTGCAAACTTCGGTCTCAAGTAGAACTGAAAAATGGCAGGAGCCTGTCTTTTCTATAGGGGAGGGAGGGGGTGGGCTCCATGGAAACTTCTGTGTAACCTGCATTTCCCTGTCAGAGGAAGCTAACATAATTCTGAATAGTAGTTTCAACAAAATGGCAGATTAATATTCATATTGTTTACCATAATCTACACTATTTCTCTCAACCACTCAAAGTTGGTACCCTCAGAATTTGAAAATAGCAACCAAATGAATCTAGCAACATAACTTACTTCTTTGACTATATCAGAATTGCAAAAGCTGTGGTTCTCCAGATGTTGTTAGATTCCAGTTTCCATCAGTTCCAACCAGCATGGCCAGTGATCAGAATTATGGAAGTAGCAATCTAACAACATTGCTCCCTATCTCTGGACTGCAGTTTAATTCCTCTGCTATACAAGGCTATGAAATTCAGTAAACAAAAAACATACAGTTTACAACAGCTGTATCAGTGATGGTGACCCTTTTAGAGACTGAGTGCCCAAACTGCAACCCAAAACCCACTTATTTATCGTAAAGTGCCAACAGTGCAATAAAACCTGAAAATTGAGGTTTTAGTTTAGAAAAAAACAACACACAGCCAGTCCAAGCAAATATATATATATATATATCCTTGGCAGCACACTGACTGACCATGCGAAAGCTCAGACAAGTCGTGGCTAATGAGTCGCGGCTCGTGATGTCATCACTTGGTGCCGCTACTCCTTTCCAAGCATCGGCGCATGGCCCCTATGTGCACTGTTACCTGATGCTCAGCTGCTGGGGCGATGCTGGGGTGACTTGTCTCGCATGCCGACAGAGAGGGCTCTGCGTGCCTGCTGCAGTACGCATGCCATAGGTTCACCACCACTGAGCTATACAGTTATCAGTAAAATACCAAGATCACATGCTTTAGCACAATATCCTTTCTAAGGAGGTAGAAAGTATAAGTCAAATTTTTATTTTCCCAGAGCAGACTCCATGTAGACTGGATAGAGAATAAGGCATGCAGAGGTGACAGATTATAGAAAATTGATGACAAACAATATAGGGACACCTGCTTCTCTTTTGTAAAGTATCCTTCCTCAACCTAGGGCCCTCCAGGTGCATTGGAAAGCAACTGCTACCATGGCTTGCCAGATGAACCTAATATGCCTCCTTAATTAAAAGCAAGGACCAAAGTAGAGATAAGGCTAAACATGCAAAGTTACGTTTAAATTATTATTAATAGAAAGCTTAAGAAGGTAAGTTTCATCAGAACTGCTGCAGGAAGGAAATTTTAACTTTTTGATCTATAGCTGTGACACTGATTTAAAACACCCCCCCTACACACACACACCATTTTGCTCTTCATCCTTTGGGCAGAGGAGAGCAGATCCTTTTGGGAGGTTTTAGGATGGCCTGAAAAGCAGTAGATAGGATTCTCCTTGTTATTTCCACAGGAGATAGAAGGGTTCAACTTCCTCCCTACACACCATAGGTCCAGTGAAAATTGGGGGCTCTCTCATGCCTGCTAGTCATTTAAAAAAAAAAACAAGGAAAGAAGAAATACTTGATATGCTTCCCAATGTATGCTTAGTGCCATATCCAGTTTAACCCCAGTATTACTGAACTTAGTGGGACACATTTAAGTAAATATGCATAGGATTTAAAGATGTCTGAGAATTTCATTTTAGTTCACAAATTACTCAAAAATGTTCCACTTGCAAAATATATGCAATTAATTGTTCTTGCACAGTATCAGTAGACTGATGAAGGAAAGTCTGTATTCAAGTATTTTTTACAGAACTTAGAACTGCATTTGGCTTGTATTGTTATTTACTTAATACCTTAATTGATATCTTAATACACTTTGCTCTGTTTGATTTTTGTTTTTAATTTCCTGATCAAACATTAACCTTGTTTCTCATCTCTTGAAAATTTGTCTTCTACAAGGGATCTGGACCTGTAAATGAGAAAGAGAAGTCATCCAAATGCTGCCAAGTAAACCTTTCAGATGGATCATCCTATTCAATGACAATTAGAGCTGGAGTTTCAATCAAAGAGACATTATCTGTGTTCTGTGAGAAGCAAGGCATTAATATAGCTGCAGTAGATCTGTTTTTAGTTGGGGGGGATAAGGTATATATATTTATTGTTTAAGATAAACATTTTAAAGTTATTATATTATTTTTAACATTTAGAAAGTATCTAATGTTTTCTAAGTGCTGTACAGGTCTTATGAGGAATAGAAAAGTAGAGGAAAGCTGTTGCTCCTTTACTGTTCCCAGTGGAAGAGGCCAAGTTGGTCTCTTCTTGGACATGTTCTTCCTGGGAGGCAAGGGGGGCAAACTTCAAATAATTCTTAGAATCCCAGCTGGTTGTAGGGGTCAGAGGATGCTTCCCATTGGTTCTCTACTGCTGTGGCAAATGGCACATGCACCAGAGTCATAAATTGTTAAGCTGCTTTCTTGATGTGTTTTTCTTTCTACATTTTTATCTCTAGTGTTACTGTTAATTAGTTGTATGCATTCTCACAAATAGTGAATGTAATCCTAACATATGTACCACACAAGCACTCAGCTTTCATTTAGAATAATCTTCATGGTTTTTGGGTTGTTTTTTTTTTTTTTTTTCATTTTAAATTGACTTGTTTGTTCAGAAGACAAACTTCTCTGATTCAGAATCGTTTATTCAGCTTTTGACTATGAAATACAGGACTACTAAGCACCACAAAAATAGGTCCTTGTTATAGGCCCTTTGCAACCAATAAGTGTATTTGTACCTGAATATACTGCAGAGTGTAAAAAAGGGTTGCAACAGAAATCAGTAAATTGATTAATGAGATAACCTTGTGTAGCCCAATTAAAACGAATGCCCAAATGAATCAAACAGTCTGTGACTCTTGGATCATCACAACCAACTGTATCCTTCAGTGCATTTTTGCATTTCCCCCAATGAGATGTGATGTGAATAGGACACTGAGGTGTGGCTGCCATCTATTCCTTTTCCATCCATTCCTTCACCCTTTTCCATACCACTAACTCATGGTTCACTGAATTCTGAGTTGTGATTTGTGAACAGCCATTGTCTTTTTAACCATAGACAATGCAGAAACGAAACCCATAATTTGTTGCTGTGTTGGAGATAGTGGGCAAGAGTGGTTAAAGAAAAAAAAAGAATGAATGAATGAATGACTTATTCCAGTAGATTCAAGAAATCAAAGGGAAATTCAACTCTAGATCAGGAATGCTGAAAAACAAGCAAGGGAACATACTATCTGACCAGGAGAAAATAAAGAGAACATAGAAAGAATATATAGAACTATACAGACAGGATGAAGAGATGACAGAATCCTTCAAAGAGAAATCCTATGAGGAAGAGCCTGAAATATTTGAAAGTTAAATGAAAGCTACTGTCAAAGTATTTGGAAGGAATAAAACACCTGAAGTAGATAGAATACCAATAGAATAATTCTGAGCTGCCAATACTGAATCAGTACAAATCCTAACAAGAATATGCCAATAAATATGGAAAACAACATTCAGTATACATTCCAATCCCCCCCAGGCCAAAAAAAGAAGAAGAGTAGATTAATCTAAGTGTGGCTTAGCATTATGTGTGAACCTGGCCAAAAGCTAAGGTGAAAATTACCAAGGAATACTTTGTACATGCAAGTACTATACTTAAAGTGGAATGAGTCATTCACAATAGTAAGCTGGAAACAGGTTAAAAAGATAACACATTTTAATTTGCAAAGAAAGAATCTGACAAAAAGGAATTCATGTTGCAGAAACAAATATTTGAATTACTTTGGACTAGAAGTATTCTTTGCATAGAATCAAATGAAATTTACAGCCACAGAGAAGACATTCTTCTAAATAACAAGTACTGTAGAGAGTGTTCTAAAAGTAAATTGTTTATAATATTAAACTGTTATATTTTTCATCAGAAAATCTTGTCAATTAAAAGACTGCATGCTTTATAGGTAACATTTAAACCTCTTTAAATAAGTAGACTTTAAAATAAAGTTCCTCATTAACCCATTATTCTCTCCCTTCCATGTTTGTAGCCGCTTGTATTGAATCAGGACAGCAGTATTTTAGATTCTCAAGCTCTTCGCCTAGAAAAGAGAACGTTATTTCGGTAAGAAAATAGTTCTATGCTTTTTGAAAGCTGTCAGTATGTGGTAAAAGCATAGTTTTAATATCCCGTAAAATAAAACAGAAGGCTTTTGTCCCAGGGCAACATTTCCAGATATAGCAGTTCTGCTTCACAAGCACAGTTCTGCAAGGAGGTCCCAATTCACTTCAGTGGAGAAGTCAGAAGATACATAGCTGCAACTACCATTAAAATAAATAGAGTACCTGCTTGAAGAACTATTAATTAAGCACCTTAGAACAGGGTCAGTGGTCACAACATGAAATGAAATGTGATTTACAGTTCTTTTTTCCATAGAAATTGGAAGTTTACCTGCATTTTTAATCACTAAACCAGTTAGTTCTTCATAATTACATTTGTATATTTGGATATGATACTAAGCCCTATGCTCATGAATTCCCCTCTCTGCTTGTTCACCCTTATTTATCTTCTCACTTCTGATATACTGTGCTACAAAGACCCTGGCATAGTTTCCTGAAAATCAGTAATCTGAAGGAGGGGAGCAGCAGGAAATGTATGAACACATCGCTTATTTGAACAGTGCTAAATCAGAAATGAGAGAGAAAATCAGAGGACAGAAAGGGAGTATGTGAACATAGCACTTGTATTGCCAACCATGATTTGGTGTTATGTCTGAACCAACACTTTCTCTTGCAACTGAGCATCCTCCCAGAAGTTTCCTATCAATTTCTGTTCTTGTTTTTGTATTTTTGCAAAATACAGGTATGTTATTTTTATCTTTCCATACAGGGTGTTTTAGTTTTAAGCTTAGTTTTTAAAATCTTTTTAGAGTATCACTTTTTATGCTAATTTCAGTATGTAAATTTTGTGAGCAGATCATCAACCTTTTTTGGCTTAATTCCTGTGTACCTGCCCCTTGTCCACAAAGTGCTTGTGTTTGTGAGACCTGATAAGTTTTTTGGGGGCTGTGCTCTTTCCTGTTAGAAAAAAGTGGATAAAGGAGCAAGATTTTGAGGCATGTACAAATATGGTACATGTACAAATGTGCAATGCCTTTTTGCCGGTAATGAGGCCAAGGTAATGTAGTGCTTGAGTACTGTCGGCCTTGGTTCTGAGCTAAATACAGGAATATCTTTAAAGGTAACTTCTGACTCAATTTAAGAAATAATAATTTGATGTAAGGTGGGTTCTCATTGATAGAATGCAGCTTTCCCTAAGGCAATAGCAATTGCAGTTTGAGTGAATTACTGTTTGTAAGTTGCTGGTAGAGGTGACCCCTATATTTTTGGCATTCTGGTGGGGACATGACTAATCTACCATGCCTACAATTTATTTTTAAAAAGGCATCCACACATTTGCCAAATGTTAGAAAGACTTCATGACTAATACATTGATTGGCAGATTTGCAATTTAGGAGTAAAGCAGTATCATTTTGTTTCTTGAACATCTGTCCACTGTTAGATTATCAAGAGGAATTTTCCGTAGTAGCCTCCATATTGCATTATTTACATCTCTTTAGAAACCTGTCTGACTTTCATAGTAATTCAACACTTCATCTACTTGAGACAGGTATTATAAATGTAACTGTTATTCCTGTCCTTGGAGTGGTTCCTCTCTTTTTCATAGACAAGAATACAGCTCTGTTGTCATCAGGAGCTTAATAAGGGAAATAATTGTTTTATAAACAAGAAGCATCAGAACCAACCTGCTTTCTTTTTGTGACTCTTGGAAATTCTAGTTCATCTGGTTTTTGACATCTTCCATAGGGCCTACTTCTAGCTGAACAGCTATGGAGCTATACTGCCACTCTTGTTGGAGAAAATAATGGATGTGTTTCCCAAGAACACGTAGAGTATGGTTAATTTGTGAAGATATGCGTATTATAATTTTTAAAAATTGACTACATTATTCACAGTTTCTTGTATACTTACCATTCCCAGATATAATTGCAAGCCTCTTGTGTAGTTTGAGTTGTTTTTAATAGACACTGACTGGATTTTTTTCATGTGTTTTAGGCTGGATCTCATTCCTATCAATAGATCTGTTGGCTTAAAGGCTAAACCTACGAAACCAGTAACAGAAGTCCTACGGCCAGTGGTTGCAAAATATGGTTTAAATCTTAATAATCTTGTGGCAAGGCTAGTAAGTAATGTAATAAAATAAGATAAAAACATTAATTTGCTTATCTGCATAAAAACATTTAATCTCTTGAAACAGTTGTAGTATTTCTGGAAAAGAAGCACCATGTTTTGAGCTACAGTTAGTATAGTATTTATACTTCATTCTTGAATTTTAAAAAATTCTCAATAGTTTTATCTAATTTAAAATGCAAAGGCTTTTAAGCAACTTTCTTTTGGGTGTTTTATCCTTTTCTTCTAAAACTTTCTAAAACTGTTACAAGATTCTAGACTGGGGTGGTCAACTTCTTCAGTAGCACCAGGTGATGGTTTGGGAATGATGTGCCTGGACCCACAAGTGTGTGCATAACCCTGGACCGTGACTTACACAGAGTTGTAGCTCCAGCTGGGTGGTTAGTCATTAGTGCCAGTAAAGTCAATAATCCTGCTTGCATCAGGCAGAGAGGTAGGCTAAAGCCCCTTCTCAGTAATCTCAGCTACATCAAGATCTGTTGTACTGGGGAAGAGGGTGCATATGGATTTCCCTACAACCCTTTTTTCATCTCAGATTCCTAAAAACCCAGTAAACGTCACATATATCCTCTCCCCCAGCTCTTTTCCTCCATGGGTTGACAGCCCCTATGGATTTTGTGCCTGCACAGAGCCTGTTGTTGAGAAGCCTCCATACCTAAGCATATGATTGAGCAGGAGCCCCTCCCCTTCCTGTTTCAGGAAAGCATGGAACAGGCTCCCACCTATACTTTCAGTTCCTTTTTGACTGCCATGGTGCCTAGAATGGGAAGAGTTTCTGTCTTCACTCGAGCATCTGGCATTCCTTTTTTGCTTACCTTTTCTCATTCCAAACCTTCCTCTGCACCGCTTTTTTTCTCCTTCACATACCCACTCACTCTTTATCTATAAAATAATTCTTACAAAAGTATAACTTTCTACCTGCTTTCCATCTCCATTCCTTGCATTCTCATTGAGTTGCCCTTGCCTTTGCCCTTGCCTTCCCTACCTACTTCAAGGGCATCTTTGGTGGCATTTAGGTGCTTCACCCACTATGGCAGCAAGCTCCCTCCCCCTGATAGCCACTCGTTTTGCTTCCTCTGCCTGGGTGAGTGACATGTTGGAGACACTGGGCCACCCACCTGAAGGCTGCACTTTGGAAGAAAGCCCTTCAAGTCACCAACTCAGCCAGGTATATGGAATAGAGCTACCCCTCCAACTTGTGACAAGGGAACCCCCAGTTGACCTGCTCTCACCTTGACAGGGTTGTTCGCCTGACGACCATGCAGCCAGAAAGGTGGTGAAACATGACTGCTGCTGCCACCATGAAAGAGAAGAGAAGGCACTATGAGAGCCCCCATTGACCCTCAACTTCAAGGATTCACTTGACCTCACCATCTGACTGTTCATGATGGGTGGACCCAGCTCATGCCCCATTGGCACCACATTGGCACCACATTGCCTAGAGACAACCCTAGAGTGGACCCTACCAGATCACTAACCTGTCCATCATCCCAGACATCAACACTGAGGCGATCAGCAGAAGCCAGCCCCACTACCTCCTGATACTTGCTCGGCATTGAAGTAGTCCTCCCATGCTCTCCACCAAGACCAACACCACCTCCATCAGAAAGTGGCTCAACACCAAGACGATCCAACATCACCTTGCCAGCATCAACACGACAGGTGGCAGCCAGGGGACACTGGGTGTGATCCTGTTCTTCCCTTCATTGAATGAGTCCGGACCGCCTACTGTCACCTCTTTTCTACCAAGAGGAATTCAGAGTATTGTACGCTGACTACAGATTTCAGTACTGAGATGACACCATGCCCTTGCACCAAGCATATTAACACCATATCACAGACACTGAGATAATGTCCTTGATGCCGAAACAAAGCTTGGGTATAAAGTCAACACCCTCAGTACTGAGTCTACATGGATCGTCAACCCCTTCAACATTGAGACCCCAGAGATTAAGGACACCATCCCCTTCTTCAAGCCCAGAGGCATTTGCCTCAAATTCAGAATCAATTATTTCAAGAACTCTTCCTCTTTTGTCACCAGATGCAGCCATGGCATCATAGGATCTGGCATCCTCTTGGAAGACTCCCTCTGCTGCACAGGCCATGTCAAAAAGACTGAAGATGGCATACCAAGTGTTGGAAAAGGATGTCTCATTATTTCCATTTCTATGCCACCCCATAACCCAAAGTTTCTCTGGGCAGCTTACAAATGTTAAGACAGCATCGAATATATAAGATGCAATAACAGCAATTAATAAACAGATAAAATAGATAATAAAATAATAGATAAGCATCACACAATAAAATATAACCACACACAATACAGCCTATAAATTAACCAAAAATTAAGTTAAAAGAAATAATCCATAGCAAAATATAAAGGTAAAATAAATTAAATTAACCAAAAGCTTTATTTTTTTTCCACCTGGCACTTGAAAGAAAGAAGAATTGGCACCACCTGTATATCCCTGGGGAGTGAATTCTAGAGCCTAGGCAGTATTTCTGGGAATGCCTTCCTCCTAGGCCTTTCCCCTTTTATCTCACTAGGGGAGGGTATCCAGAGGAGGAGTTTCAAAGAGGATCTAAGCGGATGGGTAGGAATATATGAAGATAGATACTCCCTCAGGTATCCTGGTCCCAAGCCATTTAGGACTTTATATGTCAAAGATAACACTTTGAATTGGGCTCAGACTGGAACAGGGAACCAGTGCAGCTGACAGAGAACTGGTGTGATACGTTCTCACCACCCAGTCTTTGTTACCAGCCACATTGCCCTGTTCTGTATTAATTGTAACCCCCCAGACCATTTTCAGAGGTAGTCCTACGTAGAATGCATTACAGTAGTCCAGGCAACAGTTTACCAGCGTATGGGTCACTGTGGCAAGGCTCCACTCATCCAAGCAGGAATGTAGCTGAGAAATCAGTCAAAGTTGACAGAAGGGGCTCCTGGCCACCAAGTCCAGCTGAGAAACCAGGGAGTACCTAAACTATGCACCTTATCCTTTATGGGGAGTGTAGCCCCATCCAGGGTAGGTTAAAAATTTCCTAGTTAGAGAGCAGGAGTGCCCACCAACAAGACCTCTGTCTTGTTTGGATTCAGTTTCAGTTTATTAGCCCTCATCCAACCCATTACCAAGTTCAGACACTGGTGCAAGAGAACCTATTGCCTCATCATACCTGCTCCAACATCCAAAACACAACTTGTTCCTGCACAGGGCCTTACAGAGGGAGTACATGGTACCGGTGGGCCAGGAGGGCCACCACCTGAATAGAATGGTGAGAAGCATGTATGTAACCGCAGTGCTTGGTCTCTGGGTCTATAATTATGAGGCCACCATAACCCAATATCAACTGTTGCTGCGGGACAAGAGTAGCACCATGTGTGAATACCTGCCAGCAATCACAGAGATCTGGGCTGAGTGTCCCAGACGGAGGCCTCCAAGCTTGACCACCAGTAGATCACCATGGCCAGGCTCCATATCAACATCAATGCAAAGACCATGATTGGTGGCATGGCCATCTGCCAACAAGCCTGGCTTCACTCCACTGGACTTCCACAAGAGACTCAATCTTGCATTGAGGACCTCTAAAGCCTAAAATTCTAAAACTCTTTAAAAAAGAAAAAGAAAAAAGATTTTATTAAGATTTTAAACTAATACTACAAACATCATTCATCAAATACATCGGACCTACTGGGTCAGCCCCCTACTACATACCTTTTAACATTCTATAGTCATATTCACATCCATTTATAATACCTTAAAGACATCTTTAAATCTAAGCCAAGTCCCGTTTATCCAGCCAATAATAAAAAAAGTACCAAGTTTGATAGAAGTCAGTATCTTCTTTCTCCTTCAGTGATAAAGTCTATCTATCCATTTCTGCACAGTCCAGAATCTTTTTTAAAATCAGTTCTTCGGTGAGTAATTCCTCACTTTTCCAGTTTTGAGCAAATGCAATCCTTGCCGCTGTGATTACATGTAACATCAAATACTTTTCTTGTTTGCTAATATCTTCCGGTATAATGCCTAATAAGAAAACTTCAGGTTTAAAACCTAAGGGTTTTTGTAGATTTCCTCAAGCCATTTATGTATTTTAATCCAATACTTTTTCACATTGTCACATGTCCACCACATATGGTAAAAGGTACCCACTTTATGTTTACATTTCCAACATCCATTTGACATATTTGGAAACATCTTAGCTAATCGATTTGGTGGCAGATACTATCTATAAAACATTTTATATACATTTTCTTTATACGAAGTTGCTAATGTTACCTTAACATTTCTCTCCCATAGCTTTTGCCACTTTTCTAATTCAATATTATATCCAAAATTTTGTGCCCATGTTATCATAGTTTCCTTAACCTGTTCCTCTTCCATTTTCCTGTCAAGTAGGAAATCATATAATCTTTTAATCATTTTCTCATCTGATTTAAGCATCGCTTGACCAAACGCTGTTAAGTCCTTGTAAAACCCCCATGCTTTACAATCTTTAACGTATCTCAATAGTTTGAACATTCTTTGGCATTGCCCTTCTTTGGGATCAGAATGTAAACTGACCTTTTCCAATCCTGTGGCCACCGTTGAGTTTTCCAAATTTGCTGGCATATTGAGTGTAGCACTTTTATTGCATCGTCTTTTAGGATTTTGAATAGCTCAGCTGGAATGCTGTCACCTCCACTAGCTTTGTTGTTGCTCAGACTTCCTAAGGCCCATTTGACTTCACATTCGAGGATGTCTGGCTCGAGGTCAGTGACCACCCCATCGTGGTTATCAGGGACATTAAGCTCTTTCTTGTATAGTTCTTCTGTGTAATCTTGCCACCCCTTCTTAATCTCTTCTGCCTCTGTTAGGTCCCTGCCATTTTGGACCTTTATCATGCCCATCTTGCATGAAACCTTCCCTTCATATCTCCAATTTCTTTGTCGTGGCCTCTGTGCATCACACATATGGGGTGCTGTGCCTGCGCAGTGCCTAGGCCGGAAGA